ACCACCACCACCACCACCACCACATTGCCTGACTTTTAATTTCAGTATAAATTAGACACATTTTTCATTTCCTTTTCCATTCGTCAGTTTAGCATTATCAGTTTCCGGTGTGTGTGTGTGTGTGTGTGTGTGTGTGTGTGTGTGTGTGTGTGTGTGTGTGTGTGTGTGTCAAGAAAGAAAAACAATGACCTAATTCACAAGAAAAATTAGACTAAATGCTCTTATAATCACCTTCTTTAATTACTCTCTCAGGTTAATAATTGCACCATGAACGAGGCTCAAAAATATCTCTCAATCCTGAATACAAAAAAATAAACAAAAATAAAATGTTGCGTCATTAGTATCAATACAGCCACGGTTCTGTAGGTGAGATAAGCAGCACCTGATATCTTTATTGATATCATCTGGGAGTCTTACCTGGGAGTCTTACCTGGGAGTTTTACCTGGAACACGGAGCACTAATGAGGCGCTCCATCTTTTTTTTTTTACCCGGAAGGCGTTTGTGGGTTGAATATAAACACGGGGATATTCTCTTACTCGGTGTAATAGTTACCAGAGGCGAGGATGATCGGGGAGTGAAGTCATAGAAAACGGTGCTCTTACTGTGGTGTTTTGAAGTGGGGCAAACTTAAGTATTTCCGGTTAATATACAGTACGTCCTTCCTACCCTCCTTCCTTCGTTCCTTCTTTTTTTCCCATGTGTCGGTCTGTGGGCCCCTTGTGTCGGTCTGTTGCCTCGGGCACAAGAGACCTGCCTGTCAGCGTCATGTCAACAGGACGTAATAATTCTTCCGTCCACAAAAAAATGAAAATTAATTTATTCTTAAAATAGATAACATCTTGTTATATTAATTTAATTTAGATTTTTCTCTCTAGATGCCTGGCAACTAGGAAGCCGGGTAGCTAGGAAGCCGGGTTGCTAGAAAGCCGGGTTGCTAGAAATCCGGGTAGTTAGGAAGCCGGGGTTGCTAGGAAGACGGGGTTGCTAGGAAGACGGGGTTGCTCGGAAGACGGGGTTGCTAGGAAGACGGGGTTGCTAGGAAGACGGGTAGTTAGGAAGCCGTCGTAGTAGTAGTAGTAGTAGTAGTAGTATCCTTCCCGTTTAAATGTGATGTACTTTCGTCTTAAATCTTATTAATGTTAACATATATGACGTGGCGGGCAAGGTAATGCGATGAGTCGGACCATTAGGCTCAAATTGCTTAACCATATGACCTAATTGCTTCGTTACCTGAGCCGAGGAATACGGTGAGAGGTATAGGAGAAGGGGAGGGGGTTAGAATAAGGGATAGAGGGTGGTGAAGCGTGGAATATAATAGAAAATGGGTATAATAGAAAACAAGGATGAAAATAATGTATAGGGGGAACTGAAGAAAGATGAGACATGAGACGAAATAATGAGAAAGATATAGTTGTGGAAGATGGGGGAAAGATTTAATATGAAGGGAGGGGAATAGGGAGAGAGGAAATATCAAGAAGAAAGAGAGGGATATTATATTGCTCACTAGAAGGTAAAGTAGAGACATGACTGTAAATAAAATAAAAAACTACGAAAATTATCAGGATAGATTCCGATTAAACAGTTTACACACAAAGTTCCTCTAAATAAACCTTTCTCTCTTTGTGAACATATTTAAGATAGATGTCAATAATAAACTTTATAGATAGTGATACTAAGATCTACTGAACACTACTGAAGTATTATTGTAAAAAAAAAAAAAATGTCTGGCAGCGTCTAAAGTGTTGGTAATTTCAAGGGAAAGAATATATTGTCACAAGACCTCTTCCAGTCTAACCTACACCTGCACCTTTTCATTTCTCTTCACACTGCTGAGATATTGAGTAAAATGGATCACAAAGGCTGCCAATCTGCCGTGTCACAAAACCCCCGTCCCCAGTCTAGCAAGGTTAAGTTAGGTTAGGATAGTGTAACGTAACGTACCTTGTATTAACAAAATATTACGCCAACAAACTCACCTGTTATATCTTATTTAGTTTTTGGTATTCAACACACGTGAATATATTATAAACTACCATAATATCTCACAATGATATTTATAAAGTCTTCCTATCCTCAAAAAGACGATATTAAATGTAAAATAAAGACACATTAGTTGTGTGATGTTAGCTAAGTTACTCAACAACAAACACTTAATATGTTATTTACACTCGGTTATATATTGTGGCATTTCATATCAGTCAACCAAAGTGTTCTCTTTCTCCTACACTCTATAGACACACGTAAACAAACACTGGATTAAAAATAGAAGTGGAATATAAAAGATAGAACAACATTTCCTCTTTACAAATCAGGAATTTTTTTTTGGGGGGGTTGGGTGAGGGGGGTGGGGGTGGGGGGTGAGGGTGGGGGTGAGGTGGGGGTGAGGGGGGTGGGGGTGGGGGAGTTAGAGGTTTTATTGGCAGCGAGAGAATGTGAGATACAATATTGGAACCCAGGATGGCATTCGAGAGACGGGGACAGCCTCAAAATAAAGTTGGCTTATCCACTTCTGGTGAGGAGTGATGACCGAGAGAGTGAGAGAGGAATACACCTCATTTATTGATTTTGGCGAGGAGAGGAAAGAGGAGAGGAGAGGAAAGAGGAGAGGAGAGGAGAGAGACGGTAGGTTACAGAGGGATCGGAATGGTGATTTTGAGGGTGAGGTGATGTCGGAGGCTGGGATGGTGATTGATAGTGTAGGAGATAATGGTGATGGTGTTTATGGTGTCTGATCATCACATAGAGGCTTGTTATGGCAGCCATTGGTTGAAAATATCGAATAAATGAACCAAAAGCGTTGTTAAGGTACATGACTGCCATATTAACCGAGCTGTTGTTATTGTTGCTAAGAATAAATGAAGGTGAGGAGGTTAATTAAACGACGCATCCTATGGAAGGAGAGAGAGAGAGAGAGAGAGAGAGAGAGAGAGAGAGAGAGAGAGAGAGAGAGAGTAGGAACACAACAGGTCGCTCACATACCGTCACAAGCGCGTCACTGGTAGACTTAAGCCTCCCCTCTTATTACTTTAAGCCCTAAACCTAACCTAACCCAACCTAACTTAACCTAACCTAAAAGACTATACAAATCTCATCACAATATAGCTTACCTTATCGGGGTGTTACAAGGTGATGTTTTGGTGTCTACTTTCATATTTTAAATGGTTAAAAAACTTACCCAAACAAGTCTCCAAGATATACTGTTTTGGGTTAGATTAAGGTTAGCTTAGGTTAGGTTTCAAATTGATTGATCTAAAATTGAAGGATTGAACATTAGGCATCAGAAGAAGAAGAAGAACAACAACAACAACAACATCAAGGAAAAGAAGAAAATAAGAAGCAGAAGACCAATAACAACAGCAAAGAAGAAGAAGAAGAAGTGACTGTTGTAAAGGAACACATTTTCAGGGTGTGGGATGAGGAATTCAAAACCTTCCTGATTAATCTCTGCCTCTGCCACTCACCCACGGTTATATATAGAATATTGGAAAGATTAAAAGACGAGGAATAAAGTAAGACGATTCACATGTCCTTCGTGTGGGCGTAAGATGAGACATTTCTTGGGTCTTTTATGATATAACTTGATCTGAGGGTCAGCTTCCAAGGCAAAAGGAATAAGACTTACCGTGTAGTGGATTTCTCCCCTACAAACGCTGTTTGTCGCTGCGTAGCCGACCCAGCGAATTTCCCAGTGTATGCCTCGTGGTCTGGGTCAACCAGCGCCGCCATACATCACGGAGGTCAACTACTAAACCTCACCATATCCCATAACCGTACAGATGGACGAGCTTAATGTAAACACTGATTCTTCGCTGTCTTGTGGATGGTCATATACAAATGTTTAAATTATCACATTTATGTATGTGTTTGATATTAGCTAACTTACATGACTAGCAGACAAAAGTAAATGGCTATGAATAAATTTAAGTGTATGAGTAAATACGTTGGCCATTGATCAAACATCTCGATTTCCACAAGTATATTACATCCCGCGGGGTTAATTTCTCACTCCGTGGAGCAATGAATCACTAGTCACGTCACATTGCCTTACCTTTTATGCTGCGCTGCCGACTACCGCTCAAAATACGAATTCAAGCAACCAAAACACGAAGAAACTTCACTCGGATGCTGGTATATGTGCAGACAAGCTCCACCCCCCAGCCATTTCAGCCAATCAACGGTGGCGGCGTCTCCAGTTGCCATGGTGATGATGACGTCGTTTCAGAAGGTCAAAGGTCGAAGGAGGAAGAGAAAGGGGTAAAAGAGGAGGAGAAGGTAAGAAGAGGATAAGAAAGAGGAAGAGGTAAAAAAGGGAGAGGGGCGGAGAAGAAGGAAGAGGAGAAAGGGTTAGAAGAGGAAGATGAGGAGGTAAAAAAGGGAGAGGAGGCGGAGAAGGAGGTGAAGGAAGAAGAGGAGGGAGAGGGTGAATGATATCGTTGAGTTGCTGCTGTCATATAAGGCACCAGCTTACCAAGGGACGAGGGAAGGTAACGTAATTTTGTCTCCTAGTTTATCGTATCATTATCCCTACCCCTCTGTCTCACCCCCCCCCTCCTACTCTTATTCCTTCACTTCTCCAAAATCTATATCTCACTCTTTCCATAACTCCTGTTCTATTATTCCAACTCTTATTTTATTTCATTTTCCTCTCATTACCATACGCATTTCCTTCTTTTCTCACGTCCCCTCCCCCAATATCCTGACAAAAGAACCAAGCCGTTAATTTGGTTTATGCGACCTTGAGGCTTCGTCGTGGTATATTTTCAAGGTTATGTTGTCTGAAATCTCAACAGTGTGTCGTCGTGAGGTCAAGAGGCATGAGTTTAGACGTGTTATAAACAAATTCCTTTTCTTGTGTTTAATTAACTTAAGAGACAACAGCAACAACAACAACAAATAAAAAAAAATGCAGATAAATATTTTACGACATTTTTTTCATCTTTTAAATTCACACACGCACATATTTTTTCTTCTGCGTATTAATAATCTCTTTATGTTACAGGACGAGGCGGCAGCAGCTACTGGGGGAGGAGGAGGAGGAGGAGCAGGTACAGTAGGAGGCGCTGCAGGTCTTGCCTCACCTGGGAGTATCCAGGGAGAGAGGGTTTACCGACGGAGAGGTCCTTGGTACGTCCAAATGGGTCGAGTCTTCGCTACCTTCCTCTCCCGTATCTGCCCTTGCCGATGTCCGACCAAACCCTGAGGACTCGCAGCTCCCTCCACCTCCCTTCACGCCCCGGGGGACTGGGTGTAGGGGGGAGGGGCGCTGACGGTGAAGAAGAAGAAAAAGAACAAAAAAAAGAACGATTGGTTTAGCCACGATCTCTGGTGAACACGTGAGAGGGAGAGAATTTATCACTAGTCGACCCATCACCCTGTCGAGATAACTGTCCTGTCCATTGGGGTGAAAATACTCAGTTAAGATCTATGATGGATTTTTCCCCTTTAGGATGACAGATGCTAAAAGTTTTCTTGAATAGATGGCTTAATGAAGTTACCGCTCTCTTGTGATGTCTTTAATTGATGGCTCAGTGAAGTCATTGATGTCCTCGGCTTACAGAAGGCCCAGGGAGGTTGTGTGAAGATAGGAACGTGTTGTCTTCGATGTCTGTCTGTATCTCAGTATGGAGGATGTCACTCATGATGATAATATACCATAACGTCTCATTAATGCTCGGTACAAGTCATTAATGTCACTCAAACTATGATGACCTTCGCTAACGACCTTAAATTTTGGGTGTTTTCTCTCTCCTCCTGTCGCTCTGTATCTCTCTAGTGAATACATCTATCTATTCATTTATTAATTTCTAGTTTAACAAGATCCAGGTGTTGTTGAAACCGTAAACAAAAATACTTAATAAATCTTTACATAATACTTCATCATCTTGTCCTCTAACACGCAGTAAAGTGGCGACAGTCTGACCAATCATAAACCTCCGACAGGGCAGATAAAAGATCAGCCAATCACAATGCATCTCCAAACGTCTTTCGTCTAGATAAACCAATCACAGTAAATTTTACGACGCCCGTTTAGTATCAAAAGAGAAAACCCGACCAACCAGGTTCAATTATCCTACTTGATGATATCAGAGTGGCTTAAATTGGACCAATAAGTAAAGTACATCTCTAAGTATATTCCCAGTGCCCATAATTTGACCAATCAACAGTGTGTATCTTACAGAATGAAAGAGGATTGGCAGAAATTCGACGAATTAGAACGCACCCTAACACAATATTTCTGGCGAAGGTTTTAAGGGATCATACCTGTGTGTGTGTGTGTGTGTGTGTGTGTGTGTGTGTGTGTGTGTGTGTGTGTGTGTGTGTGTGTGTGTGTGTGTGTGTGTGTGAGTGTGTGCCTTCATAGGCTAGCTACCAGTATTACTCCAGTTTTAAGCCCCGAACTTAACATAAATTTCCCCAACACTCGAATTTATTTCTTTTCTGTAAAAGTCTCGCCATGATATATTTAAACAGCTAGATACACTATAGACACACACACACACACACACACACGGCCACACTAGTTGGCTTCTTAATAACTGTTCCGGCGCCTGACAGCCACAACAAAAGATCCAAAAATGAAAATAAATCAATTATCCATTATGTATCGTGTTGTTAAGTAGTAAATACAAAATGCACTTTAGAATACAGCTGTAGTGAAGGCATAGCTTATTAACTTATCACATGAGCGGGGTCTTATAGAAGTTAAAGGAACGAGGATTACAGATATCATATAATAATACAGTATTGATCTGTGTGTCTGTAAGAAGATGTTTAATGGAGGAATGAATTGCTACAGATCAGTTGTATTTTGAAGTGAATGTCACCATTTAACACAATTAAAAAAAATGTACACTGAACTAAATACTAACTCACTGTAGTCTTATCATTTTGTACTAGCTTTCAAATGATACATCTGTAAAGAAATCAAATAGCCCAGTTTACGGAGGCCAGAATGGTGTTACACTGAGGAGAGGAGACCTAGTACATATCCCATCTACTAGGAGACGTGCTATTGAAACTAGGTCACATGAAGACTTGACCCTTATCTTAATGGTTAGTTTAGGTTGACCATTAACACTAGTAGCCACAAGCACTTGTATATACTGCAGTGTGTAGCTCCACTATACTCCTCTGCCTTCCGAAAGCACTTGAGTAGGAGTTTAGGGACGCCAGCTTACCGGGGTCACCAGTACACCTAACCTAACCTAACCTAACCTAACCTAACCTAACCTAACCTAACCTAACCTAACCTAACCTAACCTAACCTACCCTAACCTACCCTAACTTAACCTACTCTAACCTAACCTACCCTAACCTAACCTACTCTAACTTTATATACGAAAAGACATGTTATTAAGTACATATTTCTCAACTACTGGTATGTGATAGTTGGCAGATGCTGGTACTCTCTCTCTCTCTCTCTCTCTCTCTCTCTCTCTCTCTCTCTCTCTCTCTCTCTCTCTCTCTCTTTAGATAGGTTTAAGCATACACTGGATGGCTGGCCGCCCCTACATTCATACTCTACAGTGCTACTCTCTTCAATGTGCCTATTTCACTAGATGTATGATGAGTGTATTCTATGGTGGACATACTCTCTGAAGTAGATGCCGTAGTGAGTGTGTGTATGTTCTCAAGGGAAGATATATCATCGGGTGACAAGATGATATGTTCCAGAGTCTGTTTAGTCAGTGGAGGGAATATTCAGCAATATTCCTTGTATGATATTTATTAAAGCATATTCTCCAGGTATGATCTAACGCAAAAAAAAAAATAATAATGTTGTGCTGTAACTCATTTTGTTGTGGTAAGTTCTCTAATATGCTGCTGACCATATTCTTAAGTTCTCTAATATGCTGCTGACCATATTCTTAAGTTCTCTAATATGCTGCTGACCATATTCTTAAGTTCTCTAATATGCTGCTGACCATATTCTTAAGTTCTCTAATATGCTGCTGGCCATATTCTTAAGTTCTCTAATATGCTGCTGACCATATTCTTACTGGTATATTCTTTCTCTCTTGATTTTATTTGTTTTACTCCAAGTTGTGAAAATGTATCGTGTAGAATTTTTGTTTTGTTTTGGTTTAATGAGATAAACTGCTATTCTGTGTGGGTTATATAGCTGAGTTTTGTGCGTCGTGTTGGCTATGGTGTACTGAGGCCACGACCACATAAACTTCGACGTATCGTAGACGTATAACATGACGTAGAGTATACCAAATGGGAACTTATGCTGTGTCAAACTGATAAAAACAATGTGATGTGTGGATATTGTTGTGTACTTATACCGATTCTTCTGCTATCAAAGGCCTTCTTAACAGATTAATAATGTTATGACAGTGTCTCTATACAGGCAGAGTTGTGGATCTTTCTTTGCTCCCGGTTACTCACCCAAGAGGAGGAGAGGATGTTGTTGTCAGTACAGGGTCTCAGGCTGCAGTGTGGTGGGGACATACTTATAGTAAAGTCATCGCGTTACACTAGGGGGCATTTTAATCCTTTGATGATGATGATTCAACCTTTTGATGATGATTTAACCCTTTGATGACGACGATTTAACCCTCTGGCGATGAATTAACCCTTTGATCACGACGATAATTTAACCATTTGACGATGCTAATACACCCCATTAACGATGATGATTTAACCCTTTAACAATTCTCACTTAACCACCGACTCTGTAGCCAGATCAGTCCAGAATAAGAAGAAAAACAATTGACTAACGATGTTGAGGATGCTAGTCAACGCATCTTATGGTATTAGAACTGAATCATTAGGATCGTGGTTCAAGGCCAGGACAAACGATAGGGGATTCGAACCTGAGTCTTGGGATGTGTTGGGTGCAGATAGATCCTGGATAATCAAAAATAACACAGGAAAATCGTAATGATATTGAGGAGGTGTGCAGGAGATGTGAGGGAGAAAGGGAGGAGTGTGTAGGGGAGGTGAGGGAGAAAGGGAGGAGTGTGTAGGGGAGGTGAGGGAGAAAGGGAGGAGTGTGTAGGGGAGGTGAGGGAGAAAGGAAGGAGTGTGTAAGGGAGGTGAGGGAGAAAGGGAGGAGTGTGTAGGGGAGGTGAGGGAGAAAGGGAGGAGTGTGTGGGGGGTGAGGAGAAAGGGGTGTGCAGGGAGGCGGGGAGAAAGGGAGGTGTGGGGGAGGTGAGGGAGAAAGGGAGGGTGTGTGGGGGTGGGGATAAGGGAGGAGTGTAAGGGGGGGGGTGAGGGAGGGATGGAGGCGTCTTTGATATCTGCAGAAGAATCGGTGTGAACGTTAGTCTGTCTATAACTTATCTCGGAGATGCTATTCTTTCACAATGTTTTATAACGTAAGGAAATTATTTTACTAAATCTATGTAAAACTATCAGGAGACATTGATATAAATGTTATGTATGCAATCATCAGTGGACGTTTTATTCAACCTTTTGTCAACTCACTAGTGATACGTCAGACGAATGAGCTCTTAAACACACACTAAGAGAGAGAGAGAGCAATATGTGTGTGTGTGTGTGGGATAGAGAGTGGAGGGAAGAGACGAGGTTGTTTTAGAAACGGAAGATATGTAAGATATGATAACAGAGGCAGAGGTAAGAGTGTAAGCAAGAGGGGTGAAGCTGTAGAGGTTATGAGAGTCAGGCTTCAATAGGTGAAGATGGAGGGAGAAAAAACTTAACAGGATGAGAATAAAAAAAAACAGTGAGGGAATTGGAGAGAAGAAGATGAAGAAAAGGCAGGTAATTGAGGAAGAGGAAGGAGAGGAGGAGAGAAAAGTTGTGAAAGATGACGATGAGGAGGAGGAAGATGACGACGATGAAGAGAAGAAAGGACGATGGATAATCCTTCAACACAACAACATTGCATATAAATAACCATTTGTTGATAGTAAGAACGTGTATATCGTGTAATTATAGTGTTGAAAAGGACCAAAAATTTTATATACAGTGAGAAAAAGAAGATTATACCGTTGAACAAAGTTATCCCTTAAATATATTCGTTTTCTACCATTATCCCAGTAACAAAGAAAATGGTACACTGAACGGATCTCGATATACTTCTTCCTTGTCTCTTTTTAACACTCTATATCAGTTTGAAGGACCTCACATCAGCAGCTTGAGTTATGTTTGTTATCTCTGAAGTTAAGACACTCTATTCAGATCCACAAAACAGACGAGGCGGGATTTTAGTCTCCTTAATGAGTAGATTGTTACTTGACTGAAAACTTTGCCTGCATTATGGAGTTTGTGTGGTGAGGAAAATCTTCTCAATAACGCCATTAAAAGTGACACTTGATGAATTCCTCAGTAAAAAACAGTAGCTCTTTGTATCAATATTATGTAAATTCAGACGAAAAAACATGAATACTTCTTTAACAAAATAGAATTCCCTACATCAATATAAATAAACGCACAATTGAAATATATACTAAATGAGGATAACTTATGGGACCTACTGAATAACCACATGAAGCTGCCATAATCCAGATGAAACAGTGAAGAAGTTAATGATGTGAGATAATGGATCGACTGACTAGATCTGGAGAATTTGGACAAAGTTATAGGCTATAGTGCGTAAATCTGCCACCGGGGGGGATTTCCATCGCTTGGGGACAGATTGAACTATTTTGCATCGCTTGTTAACTATTGAGAGTGGTAGATATTAATCTTAATCTCTTATTTAGGGGAAATTTTAGCCAGTTATTTTATTTTCGATTATAATTATTTTGTTTGTCCATTTAGCCTTCAGACCATCTTTATTAGAGTTATTTTTCAGTTGTGTTAAAGTCTTTGTGACAAATATATTATGACGAGAGAATAAAATCCCCGCCAGGATAAGGGAACAGATCATAATATTGACGCCACGATGCTTCCTGTTGTCAGATATCCTGTTGTTCTCGTTGTCATGTACAGAGATTTAAGGAAGTGTAACAGAATATGGGGAAAGAGGATATGGGGGGCGGTGTGGGGTGTGGGGTGGTGGGAGGAGGTGGGGGAGTTAGGAGGGGAGTTGGGGGTGTGGGGTGGTGGGAGGAGGTGGGGGAGTTGGGAGGGTAGTGGAGGGTGTGGGGTGGTGGAGGAGGGGGTCAACGTGGGAGTGTGGGGGGTTGGAGGTAGGGAGAGACTTGGGCCTTGGTTGAGGGGAGGAGATATATATATATATAAACACGGCCACGGGGGGTCCTGTGTTGACGTAGCAGAGACGCCTGAGGATACTGATTGGCGCGAGAAGTTGCGGTGCGGCGAAACTGTGGTGGTGTGGTGTCCGAGAAGAGTTGTATATGTGTGTGGTACTGAAATTTAGCCATTTCAGCTTTTGATTGTGGTATTGGTGATGTAGTTGGAGAAAGTATGGTTGTAGTGATTCTGGTAGGGGTTTAAGTGGTTGTGGTAGTGGTGGTGTTGGTAGGAGTAAGAGTGGTTGTGGTGATTCTGGTAGGGGTGGTTGTTGTGGTCGTGGCGGCTGTGGTAGGGTTATCAGGGAACACCCACTCTGTGTAGTATACAGGATGAAGACAGGGAGATGGCATGAGAAGGTGTTCTTGATAGGTGTAGGTGTGTTCATTATCCTGCCCGCCCTCACCTACACTCACCCACCACCAGAGTGTCCTGGCTGTGAACCACAAGGTAAATTATCCATACTTTTTCATATACTAATGCTATTTTTACTACTACTACTACTACTACTAGTGGCGGCTCGTGATAAAATGCAAAAAGGGGGACTGCAATTTTTTATAATTTGCAAAAGAAAAAAAAAACCTTAGGGTCCAGTTTGTGAGTTGAAGTTGATGGCGTGAATACTCTGGGGCCCAGCTGGGCATCTGGGGCCCAGCTGTACATTGCTTGAAAGATAAACTCCGTGCGGCGGCTCTTTGATGTACCAAAGTGATTAGCTACTTTTTCACAAAAGTCATTTATTTTTGTGACCGTTTTATTTTCAATGAATATCATTACTAAAGCAGATAATGTCATCCATCGTGATATTCGGCAAAAAAGTTTGGATTCTTTTCAAGGCTGTAAAACACCTTTCTGCCTCAGCCGTTGTCATTATCTTGATAAGCTTTACAGTTTCTGATAATGTAGACTGTAGATAGCTTTCATTAAGCACGGCTCAAGGTCTGTCTACTGTGAAGTAGAAGGGCTGCTATTATACCCCTCCACCGCACGTGTCAGTTAGGTCAATGGACTGCAGAGATTGAAGACCAAATTTCAGTGCAGCACGGGCACTAATTGCGTAATATATAATGACGACAACATTCTATCTGAATATTTTTATAAAAACTTGATTAAATTGTTTGTCTGGTATAGAAGTAGAGGTACTATACGTCTGACAGTTTTGTAGGGGAGCTGCAGCCCTGCAGCCCTTATGGACTTAGCATGCTTCCCTGTTGGGCACTGTAAACGCTTCTGCGCTTCACCTTACACAAGGATGTAGGGGAGTGCCCAATAAATAATAATAAAAAACTGCTACTACTACTACTACTACTACTACTACTACTACTACTACTACTACTACTACTACTACTACTACTACTATTACAACAACTTCTACTACTACTACTATAACTACTACTACTATTTCATTCTTTCATTTATATAAAGTAATATTACGTTCACAATATTGACTTAAATTTTACTCTGCATGTCTCACAGAGTTAAGGAAGCTTTGAAATTCACGACGGTGTCTTCTCTCTCCTCAGGCTGTGAACAAAGAGAAATGGGTGACATTTCAAACCTGGTGACTTACGCACAATTTCAGCCTCAAGCCACAATACATCTTATCATTAACACACCAAAGTGGGAAAAATTTGCACTAAAATTGTTACAAAGCGGAAAAGTCATATACAGAGTGTTGATTCGAATGATAAATAATAATAAAATAACTGCAGTATTCCAGGGAGATGATATTGAGAAGAAATCATCGTTAACCCCTAGTGTATTGGTTGTAGGTCAGCAGGTCACCCTTAAGTTTACCAAGAACAATGGAGTAACAAAGCTACTCCTGGGAAACTCTCAGGCACAAGACCACATCCATCTACCCAACGCTTCACTTGGCCACATTGACACCATCCACTTCATCCGCAAGAGGAGAGTCAACATGACCGTCAATCTCTGTGGTATGTCAATACTTCCACCCACCAACATCATCACAATGCTGAACTTACAATTATAATTTCACAAATCATGTAAGATCGATTAATGTCATATTTATACATTTAACAGGGATAGTTATTAGCTCCATATGTCTCACGAAAGGTATAAATGCATCCTGACATTCCATTCTTGAGCATTTTATTTATGAGAAAAAATGATATTATTCTAAAGTAAAATGTGTTTCAGACTGGTCAAGCTCTAGATGTCCTCCAGTGTATTACCCGAGTACAGCTGAAACACAAACTACATCTACGACACCCTGTCCTGTCCCTGAGCCTTGTGAGGTATGTGCCACAACCCCTTCGTCGTCTGACCCCAGCGTGGTAGAGAACTCACCTGCCTTTTCGACACAAACGTCAGTCCCATCGACTCACCCTAGCGTAGTCGACAACTCACCTGCCTTCTCGACACTATCAACACTATCAGAGCAAATGACACGATTGCAAAAATGTTTTGAGTCTGACCAAGAAGACTGGAAATGTTGGCTTATCTGTGGTCTGGCAGGGATGTGTATCTTATTCGTTATATCATTGGTGGTCGCGTCTAGTGTCATCTGCCAGCTGAGGAGGAAGTACCTGGAGCTGAGGGCCTCCTTAGCTCGGTCGTCATCATTAGAGGGTTGGCGCCAGTCTTGTGATGAGCCGCAGGATCCTCCTAAAGGTCTTCTGACAACAGGCCGTGATTCTCCCGCTAACCACATCTATAACGAGCCTGACGAGTGGGAGTCGCAGCTCTATCACAACCCTGAACTTTCTTCTGAGTGGGATTCAATACACTCGGCCCACTCATTCCAAGCTACAGATCAAGGTGATGTCGGGGGAGAGTGGGGGGCAACACATACAACCCACTCAGAATACTTTAATGAGTGGGACCCAACAGAAGGAGCTCACACAGAATGCTCCAACGAGTGGGACCCAACATACACAGACATCTCAAATGTTACCTGCGAAGTGGTCACAACACTCACTCGGCCTTCAGATCTTTTATATGTAAGGAATTCTCCGCTAAGGAATTCCCCTCAATGCGAAAGGAACACCTACCACGCCCTGAAACACGCCCACACCCTGAAACACGACCACATCCTAGAACACGACCACACCCTGGAACACTACGACACCCTGGAACACTACAACACCCTGAAACACGACCACACCCTGAAACACGACCACACCCTGGAACACGACCACACCCTGGAACACTACGACACCCTGGAACACGTCCACACCCTGGAATACGACCACACCATTGGGAGAGAAGAGGACACACCTTCCCACTACAATTACAACATCTGATAATTAAGACCAGTTTTAGTCACTCCTCTCCAAGAATTTCTAATGTATTGTTATATTATTATGATTTATATAGAATGTGTTTGGAGTGAAAATATGTTGCTTGTGTTTATATATATATATATACATTACATGTCAACGTAAATATAGATGATTGCTTGACAATTTATATAATTGAAATTGTAAAACTCTGATAACATTATTTAATTAAATTATATGAAACAGACACTCACTGCTGACAATAACCAACTGACACTCACTGCTGATAACAACCAACTGACACTCACTGCTGACAACAACCAACTGACACTCACTGCTGACAACAACCAACTGACACTCACTGCTGACAACAACCAACTGACACTCACTGCTGACAACAACCAACTGACACTCACTGCTGATAACAACCAACTGACACTCACTGCTGATAACAACCAACTGACACTCACTGCTGATAACAACCAACTGACACTCACTGCTGACAATAACCAACTGACACTCACTGCTGACAACAACCCACTCACCTGACTGACACTCACTGCTGACAACAACCAACTGACACTCACTGCTGATAACAACCAACTGACACTCACTGCTGACAACAACCAACTGACACCACTGCTGATAACAACCAACTGACACTCACTGCTGATAACGACCAACGACACTCACTTAACAACCAACTGGACACTCACTGCTGATAACAACCAACTGACACTCACTGCTGACAACAACCAACTGACACTCACTGCTGACAACAACCAACTGACACTCTGACAACAACCAACTGACACTCACTGCTGATAACAACCAACTGACACTCACTGCTGATAACAACCAACTGACACTCACTGCTGACAATAACCAACTGACACTCACTGACAATAACCAACCGACACTCACTGCTGACAACAACCAACTGACACTCACTGCTGACAATAACCAACTGACACTCACTGCTGACAACAACCAACTGACACTCCTGCTGATAACAACCAACTGACAACTGATAACAACCAACTGACACTCACTGCTGATAACAACCAACTGACACTCACTGCTGATAACAACCAACTGACACTCACTGACAACAACCAACTGACACTCACTGCTGACAATAACCACCTGACATTCACTGCTGACAACATCCACCTGACACTCACTGCTGACAACAACCAACTGACACTCACTGCTGACAATAACCACCTGACACTCACTGCTGACAACATCCACCTGACACTCACTGCTGACAACAACCAACTGACATTCACTGCTGACAACATCCACCTGACATTCACGGCTGACAATAACCACCTGACATTCACGGCTGACAATAACCACCTGACATTCACGGCTGACAATAACCACCTGACATTCACGGCTGACAATAACCACCTGACACTCACGGCTGACACTTCCTTAAATCTCTTTTTATCTCTGAAATATATAATTTTTCCCTCAATATGCTAAACATAACAACAGGAAGACGTCAATAGTAACAACAGGATAATGACAACAGGAAGACGTCAATAATAACAACAGGAAGACGTCACTATTATGAGCTGTTCCTCTTATCCTGGCGGGGATTTTATTCTGTCATCATAATATGTTTGTCACAAGGTTAGGTTAGGTTAGGTTAGGTTAGATTACACACTATATCAAGAAAAAGGTAAGATTTATACCTGGGGGCAGACTGTGATGAATAGGTGAGTCCAGTTATGTGTTTGATGAGGTGGGCCATGGCCACTAGTCAGCCCTCACACCTGGCTTAATTGGTTCATACATTCATACATACACTTTTCTTATACATTCAGACATACATGTGACCTCACCTTACAGTGCATCAAAGGTGAGCTAATTATGGTTCGGCTTTAACATATTAGGCATCGTGTTCATCTATATTAGTTTACATAATTACGTAGACAAAGATGCCAATACTAAACAACTATCCACTTATGTCTTGAATTTAATTACCAAGGCAAAAATATGGCAGAAAATAAAAGAAGGGAAACTGGATATAAAGTATAATTATTTTTTACAGTTATTTTACATCTCATTATCTGTTGAAACACTTAACAGGTACTGGAATCATTATCACTGAAAATATGGAATAAAATATAATAAAACAAATCCTTAATACTCTTGTTCATTTTATTTAAAGACAAGTGTTTAGTAATTATCACCTAATTTACATTTTGAGTTGGTGAGAACAGTACAAGAAAGACGTAGTTAAATGGAGAGAAACTATCCTTAAGTAATTCGTCTACAAGTAGTAAAAACACTTAATAAACCAATCATACGTTGAACATGATCACGACAAAGACTATGGTGTTAAGGCATCAATTAATCTCTATATATAATAATTGTTTCATATATAACTGACTTTATATATTTTCATGTATATTATATAAACTCCAGAAATATACAACTAATTCAATACCTGTTTTTGTTAGTTCTTTTTGTATTATAAGGTTTAATAAAGGACAATATAATGAACTGTTACATATTGTACACACATAAACTTGTACACAGTCTCTTACCAGTGATGAAAGATACAAAAATATAAAGTATACTCAAAACTCAATCACTTAATCAGTTATTCAGTCATTCAGTATTTATAGTGATACACAGTGCACGTAGAGAGAGAGAGAGAGAGAGAGAGAGAGAAAGAGAGAGAGAGAGAGAGAGGGTTAACTGAACTGGTCTCGTAAACCCAGTAGCCGCCCTCAACATAAGCTCACTGCATGAATGGAAGAAGAAGCATCGAACTGCGCCAATAACTGCGCCATCATCACCCAGCTATCATATTGTTTACACCTGATCGGGCAGACCGGACCAAATCCTCGCTCTAGGGATCGCCAAGGAGCTCTGTCGATTAAAAAAAAAAAATAGAGGAAAAATTAATAAACGTTAGTCAATTGTTTTTCTGGTTTTTGATAACTAATTAAATTCCGATGATTTTTTTAACTGTGTACTATAATATAACCTTTGAAGTCAATAGCACCAACAGCCCAATTTAATGTTGTGGAAGGAACTCTGCTTCATGTCCGTTAGAGGAAGGTTTCATATATAACGGACTTCGATTTAACGGAATAGTTTTATGCCAGATGATATATTTAGTCTGAAGATCATTGTTTTAAAAGACTTGTACAGTAAAACCTCTATTTAACAGACTGTATATGAAAGATTAGTCCGTTATATCGAAGTCCGTTATATATGAAACCTTCCAACGGACTTTATATAAGAGGCTAGTCCGTTAAATGGAAGTCCGTTATATAGAGGTCTCACCTGTAATACATATAACGTGATCAAAAGTAAGCAGAAAATATCTTGTGAATGACTGAACTATTAATATTTATCACAAGATGTTTACAACCTTTATCATACGTTCGGTCTTGGAGGAACTCAAGTCTTATATACACAAAATCCTAATCACCTGGACCTGTTAGAGCTATGGTTGATAAACAGAGATTAATCTGTGTGTAGAGAGAGAGTTAACAAGTTATCCTGAAGAAAAAGAAACGACGACTTCAAGTTAATTAATCCCTAGTAAACAATTGTCACTCGTCTCAAGGGCATACAGCAGTAGCTGACACAAGGCGCCTTTAACCTTACGTGATGTTCCCTGGCAGGTGGTGACGGCGGTAAATCTGTCGATATTCTGTGTCTTCTCTGTATTTCTGTTGGACTGGAGTCAGTTCGCTGTGGACTCGTCGGTATAGAATATACTCGCTGTTGTTCTGTCGGCATGAAGTCTACTCGCCCTGTCGGTCTTGAATGGCTAACCCCTGGATATCTATAATCAAAGTCATCACTAGTGGAAGAATCAGTCATGCCATCGATTTGTATCTGCTGAGTGTTGGTAGCTGTCAGTGGTCGTCGGTTTACGATTCTCAGGACCCGTGGTTGGCGGTGGTGGTGGTGGGGGTCCTCAACTCTGTCATACTGTTGGTCAGGAGTCTCACGGTCGCCCTTCAGCTCCGTCGTTACATTGGGGTTCATGGCCCTATAATCACCTGGTTCTTGCTGTTGGTAATATGTGGGTTAACTATCCATACACCTTGTGAGTCGAGTCAGATTAAGTCAAACTAATCTAAGTTTCAGTCACTTCATTCAACATCCTCACAAGATTCTGGGGTTAAATCCCACTAGAATAACATATGAGGAAGAAAATGTATTAAAATGATTTGTTCTCTAGTAAAATTATAATCTTGTATCGTATTAAATGTGATGAGTCAAAAGGTACTTGATGTTGACCGGGTTTAATAATGTTCCTTGGTAGTCTTAACAAGTGTTGCTTTATATGTGGTATGTACACTTGACCTTTATGTGTATTTAAAGAAGCAAATATCCACACAGTCATTCTTATGGGACCAACTTTCACGTGTATCAGTGTTGTGAAGGTACCAACTTATACCAACTTATATTTTAATAGATTATTTTTTTTTATTTACACATTTCTTAATATCTAATTTATGTAACCACTAATTCATAAACAATTACTTTTTTGGGGGCTAAGTACACCAATAAATAATTCGTAAATAACTGAGATAATTGATAAGCATAGAAGCCATTTAGAGATTAATATAATTTCTTATAAATTGAAACAATAATAAATCTAGATAGTAATGAAGCTTCAGGAATTATTGGTGAAGGAGGACACAGGCCTAAAACTTTCCAAGAAGTGAGAACAACAAAGACATACATGACGCTATTTATCAACCACAACAGTTTATAGACAACACAAACAATACACGGCTACACATACACATAATACACGGAACACATACACATAATACACGGAACACATACATAATTATAGACGGAACACATACACATAATACACGGAACACATACACATAATACACGGAACACATACACATAATACACATGCGTTAATACTGTTACAAAGGAAGAAATACATCGCCATTGTATGATTGATAACGTCTAAATGGTTCACGGGGCAACACAAATTAGAAGTAACAGTGAACAAAAACATTTAGAACAACAACAACTCTATATTGACAACACATATGAACTAATAACATAACATATGCTAGGTTAGGTTAGGTTAGGTTAGGTTAGGTTAGGTTAGCTTTATGATGCATTATTATAGGTTAGGTTAATGTTTGGCCAAGATGTAAACTCAGGAGCAAAATTAGTCCCGATCATTATGTGACCGTTCCGTACACGCATATAAGGGACGTACTGTGTAAATCTCTCTAAACATGTTTCAGAAGTCAAAACGTATGCACAGGTATCAACATGTAATTAAGACAGACAGCTGATGATCCTTACCTGTGAGGACGAGGAGGAATGGGTAGAAAGTATTGGGAATAATCCACGTCGCCTTCTGAGGGAATATACACAAGGCCATTGTTAATATTTGTGAACAAGACAACAATAGCTGGTCCCCCCCCCCCCCATCACTCTTTGAGACCATAATAGAAGGGGGTTATTACCAGTATGATCACCTAATGCCTCTACTCCTGAACCACGAACCCCCAAGATTGAGACTCGCGAATCTGAAGCATTTACGAACGGAATAATGTATCAGTCTACTGCTTTGGGTTCACGAATCTGAAACTTGGGGTTCGTGGTTCAGGATGAGAGGCGACAGGATTTTCGTGGATGACTGTGCATAAGATAAAGTTGTTGTCAAGAGGTAGTAATAATATACTTATAGTAGCCTACAGTAGTTAAGATCTTCAAACATAGAAAGTGCTTTGAGTTACGGTACAGATTCATAGCATATTCGAAGCCAATTTCAATGGTTCAGTAGACTATCTGCCCTAAGAAAGTCAGTTAGATTCTATCATCCTCAGTTGAGTTGAACATTTAACTGAATATAACCTTTCGTAGCTCGAGTCTTTACTGATTATCTCGCTTCAGGTTTTTATATATTCTTAATGACTTTTAGCCAATTTTCTTTATAAAATCTGCACAGATATCTAAAGAATATTGTGTGAGGAATATTTTGAGAAAAAACGCAAAAAGATTTCATTTACAAGAATATTTATCCATATATAATTATTTTTATACTTATTAATAATTATAATGAAGAGAAAATAAATATAAAATCAATTCTCCAACACAAATATTTTCTTGTCGATTTAGATAAAAACTTCATAGAACGTGTAGTGGTCCGCCAGCCTCGGAGTGTCCAAGAGCAATGTTATGCTCGTTAAATTCTATCAAACTTTCACTGTTGACACACTATTACTGATCAGAGACCAAGCGTAAGGTTAAACAAAGGACCCTCCTGGAAATAAGCAGCTGACATCTTTGTTGAATATCCTTGGTCAAGTTGTCTTAGTGTTTACCATTGTTGTTTACCTGCAGCACTGTCTCGGCACACAGGTAACCCACGGTCTACCTACACAGTCTACCTACATGGTCTATATTCATGTTGAACTGTATACCTGCATAGTTTATAAATATGCTTATCCAATTGTAAACCAGTATGATCACTTTATTGAATTATTATTATTATTATTATTATTATTATTATATTACAGAATGGAGTGTGCACCAAACAACACACTTACCGTCGCCTCCAGTAGAGGGCAGCACCGGCCAGGACGAGAACGATGGACAGGACGCTAGCCACAACACCAATCACAACTGTCCGGCAACATTACTAGATTAGCATTATGAAACACTTAATGAGAAGAGATAAAATATACCAAAATCCTGAGGAGGTTAAACCATTGTTCTCAAAGGTTAAAATTATTGTCTTCAAAGGGTTAAATAATTGTTCTCAAAGGGTTAAACTATCGTCGTCAGTTCAGTTGGTTCAATCAAAAGCAGTATAACATATGAAAATGGCAAAATACTGTTAATATCACTTTTCAAACATTAATAACAACATTTGGGAAGACTCAAGAGTAAATAGACTTCAGGGTGTGAAATATTGTACTACTTTCAGTACACATTATATCATGACTACAGTTGAATAATTATTAGGTAGGGTGACCCAGAAAAAGGTCCCTCCTTCCCTCCCTCCCCCTCTGCTCCCTGCCTCCCTCCCTACCTGCTTCCTGCCTCCCTCCCTACCTGCTCCCTGCGTCCCTCCCAACCTGCTCCCTGCGTCCCTCCCTGCCTGCTCCCTGCCTCCCTCCCAACCTGCTCCCTGCGTCCCTCCCTGCCTGCTCCCTGCCTCCCTCCCTGCCTGCCTGTTCCCTGAGACACTGTGAGTTGGAGGGAGGCAGTGAGGGAGAGAAGGAGGGAACAGGCAGGGAGGCAGGGAGCAAACAGGGACATTTTCTGGGGCACCTTATATACGGCAGGTCTTGTTGACGTCTACGATACAGTATATAATTATTATATAAAACACTTATGGTAAATAGGATAGAGGTGACTAACCTCTCATGTCGTATGTACACTTCTCGCCTGAGTAGTACCAAGAGGAACATCTGGAACACGGAACATATAGGTGAAGGTTAATTAGGAACATCTAGAACACGGAACCTACAGGTGAAGGATAATGAGTAACACATGGGACACGGAAGAAGAGATTAAAGGTCACATTAATAGTGTTTTCTCCTCTCTCTACCCTACAATAATAAATAATGTCTCACTATTAATCATTCTGTTTTGTTAATGGAATCCTTGTCTTCCTCAATCTGGTATTTATCACTTATATTTTTCCCTTTGTCACGAATCCTTAGTTGCGATGACTCGGTGTTACTGAGAGTTCCAGTGAATCAGGTACAGTATTAGTGATTTCATTGGAGCTCATGTAAGTCCAGGTGTATTGTATATATTATATTCTAATTATATTATTTGGACTATTTTGTAGTAATATGACATGTAAAATACATTTGTTTAATTGATTTATTCTATTTAGTTAGTTACTGCATAACAGCCATTAGACTAGTTAGTAACTAGTCTAATGGCTGTTACTGTAGTTCCGGTGATGAACACCAGAGGACCTTAACTCCCGCCATCCACCTGTTGGGTTGAGAAAAGTCGACAGAGAGTCAGTTTTACTCCTGACACCGACTGCTGTGTGTCGGATCTGTTTCCCCAATTCCTTTGACGTTGTCTGGGTATTTTCTTTACTGTGGCTGACCTGTATTCACCTCAACAGGTAAGTTATTCTTGTTATTTTTGTTAGGTATAATATTTAGGATGTTTAATAGGAATTAAAATAAGTTACCATTCTGTTTTGTTTTGTAATGTTCGTGCTTGAGTTTTCCTTGTGTATATGATGGTTGTTTTAAGTGTGTTTTTAACTCTGGGGCTTTTTCCTTCACAATTAAACAACGATTGACCTATTGAAGCCTGTCTAAAGCACCTTGTAATAATAAGTGCATTAACGTATTACAGATTAGTATCCTCTCAACCTGACTTAGATCTGTAATACCCTTCAGTTAAAAATCAAAGTACAGTAACTGGTAATAATCTTTTGACAGTCACCCAATCATTAACTGGAGACGGAGAAGCATGGATACTTATCTTGAGTGTGTGTGTGTGTGTGTGTGTGTGTGTGTGTGTGTGTGTGTGTGAGACAGCAGCATACTCACTTGCATTCCAGTTCGTACGTGTAAGTGTGCTGACAGTATCCGCCGTAGCCGCAGAAATTCTCAAGACACGGAGCTGAGAGAGGTAAACATAGATTAATTTCAGCTTCTTCTTAGGGATAGTTTAATTTTCTTTATTATTATTATTATTATTGATGGTAGTAGTAGTTAATAAAGAAGAAACGAGAAGAGAGGAAAGGAGTGGAGAAAGAAGAAGAATACGAAGGAGAAAAATCTAAAGATAAACTAGAGAAGAAGAAGAAGAATACTCACAGGCGCACACTTCTCCTGTTGACCCTTGTGGGGAGAAGTCTTCGAGTCCAGTGTTACAGAAACATTGACCCTCTTGGATTTCCAGCTCTGGGTCCTTCACGTCTCTACACGTAGCTTGAGGAGACAAACATACGACTCGAGATCCGCATAAGTTGGGTGTTGGACCTGAAGGAGATGTTGTTAAATCTCAAGTGATTATATCTACGAAAGGATTTTTTGTTTGTAATCCTTTGGTTGCCATAAGGACGGTAGGATATGTAGAGTGGTGACTATTGCTGTTTCTGTGTTTCATTTAATGTGGGACGGTATGGTGGGATAAAACGAGCTACCATTAGGACAGAAGGTGAGTGTTGTATCCACTCGCTCCTTAAGAACCATTGATTTATTCATTATCAATATAAGGATCCGATACGTAAAAAAGATTTGCAATTGACTGAGAGCTGAGGTAATAAGGACAATATTCTCTGTCATGTAAATAAAAGATGGTTGAAAAAAGGCCCCCCCCAAGACCTCCCAAGACCTCCCAAGACTCTACAGGACCACCCACCCCCCCCACCCAGATCCAAAAGACCCCCCCAAGACTCCCACAAGACCCTCTCTCCCCCCAAGACTTCTACAAGCCCCACAAGACCCGCCAAGACCCCCCTTCCCCCAAGAAAAAAAAATACTCAAAAGTTTACCCTCAAAATCAATCTTCTCTGATGGGATTTCGAGTCCAAGTTCTTGCGTGAATTCTTTGTCCTCCACGACCTTCACGAGTGACCTCTTCATCCTGTGGGCTGTATCCTTAGTGTAGGTGTCTGTGTCTCTCATGATGACGTTATTCTTTATCATCAGGCCATCTATCTTTCTCTCTTCCTCTCCCGCGTCATTTACGACCCATCTTCCCGCTGTTCCATTCGGGAGTGTCTTCACGTCCCTACGATTTAAGAGTCACTTTAGTTGACATAATAATGGTCATCATCTGATTATAACGTATATAAATCGTCCCCGAAAACATGTACCGTAAAGTTCCTTAATCTGTCTCTTCCCCCTGAACCACTAACCCCCGAGAGATTCAGACTCGTGAACCCGAAGCAGTAGACTGATACATTATTCTGTCCATAAATGCTTCGGGTTCATAAGTCTGAATCTCTCGGGGGTTCGTGGTTCAGGAGGAGAGGCGAACGCAATTAGTAGTTGACTAAAGACTATGTTAAACCGACACTCACTATAATTTAGAGGAAATATACTGTAATTAAGAAGGGGGGGGGGGGTGTCTTGCCAGGTACACTGTTTTAAAGAAGTTTGATTAGGGTAGGTTATTGACACTTTGGTATATACTCCTGACACTTAAGGTATATACTCCTGACACTTAAGGTATATACTCCTGACACTTATGATACACACTCCTAACGCTTATAGTTCAACAGATTTCACTCAAACGTCTATCCACGGCTGACACCACTAACCGTTTGACTTTCAGAGTCGCGCTGCAGACTTCTCCTGTACCAAGACCTGCCACGCTTACAATTTCACACCTCTGGAATGAGTCTAGATTGGCCTCCTGAGCTGCGGCCAGATACTGTGGGTGACGAGAGGGAGACAGGGTGAGAGGTCCACGTAGAAGGTTATTTTTATTATTATTATTATTATTATTATTATTATTATTATTATTATTATTATTATTATTATTATTATCATAGAAAAGTTTAAAGAATAAGAAAGGACTATACATATAACATAAATATGTATGTATGGATGTATGTATGTATGTATGTATGTATGTATGCACTGTATATATAAAAGTTGAGTTAGGTGGTTTTGTCTAGTTGGTGAGAGAGACGGGACATGCACTACTAAATTACACTCTCTCTTTCCACATACCTGCTCCCTCTTATCAAATTATATATATTTTTATTTATCACCTAAACTGATTAGCCGTCCGGTGTTTCACTTGGTGTAACGGGAGAGAGTGAGCGACCTGAAGGTTTCCTCGTAAATTACACGTACATACATACTTACATACATACATCCATACATACATACATACATACATACATACATACATACATACATACATAGTACATACCACGAGAGTTGAGACTAAGAGGTTAGTAATAGACTTACCAGTTTAGTCAGCATATTAAGGAGTTCCAGAAAGACTGCGGAGTTCCTATGGCAGTAATTGTTGTCCCAAGGCTTGTTGTCGACCGTGAGCTGAGAGGGATGTTCCATCACCTCTGTGGTACACGGCGAGACACTCATGTTATGATATGAGACACTGAGGATGTGTTCAAAATTGGGTTGAAAATTGGAATTCTTTTGAGCACCCATACTCAAGGGTGAATATATCTTACTCAAGGGGTTAATGTTAGTCTGTGTTGGTGATATTTAGAGATGATATAAATTCTCTCTGGCTATCGAGGCAGCTAATGGTGTTGGATACAAGGGTCAATGTTATACCTCTTCGGCACGGCGATAATAACACGGTCTTATTATGAGATTATGCATTATTATTATTATTATTATTATTATTATTATTATTATTATTATTATTATTATTATTATTATTATTATTATTATTATTATTTTTATTATTATTATTATTATTATTATTATTATTATTATTATTATTATTATTACTATTATTGATTTATATGTAATATATAGTTAGTTTTTCTGTCAAGACATTCACATAAGCTATAACCCACAGGACAATGAAAGGAGACAGAGGAGTGATGTTCAAAACCTTTCAAACGGATGGACTGATTACATCAACTGAGGGTGACAGGATACGATTACTAAAGCGACTGACCACCGCTTTTCTCAAAACACTGGAGAGTTATAACTGAATTTAAGGACAATTTTCATCATTGTCTGATGGAAGTAATATACCACGTTATAGTCACACCTCCTTACCTGCACACACGCCAGTCTTCCCAGTCTCTGGTTTCTCATAGCCGACCTTACACAGACACTCGTAGTCGCCTTTCTCGTTCTTCAGGCACCTCTCGAAATTGTTCACCCGACAGCCGGATAATTCTGGATTCACGGTTACGTTTCGTTCAAGTAGATCAGTGTAGAACCGTGGACACTGCTCGCTAGGTACTGATGTGGTGATTGGAAGGGGTGCAGGGGTGGTGGTGATAGGAGTGGTGACAGTAGTGGGTCTGGTGGTTGTGGTGGTAGTGGTTGTGGTGATGGTGGTTGTGATATCGGTGGATGTGGGAGCGGTGGATGTGGGTGTAGTGACGAGCGGTGAAGCTGCAGTAAGGATGAAAATAAACATAATCAGTCATCAGCTTAGCACCGAGGCAAACACTAAGTCTTATATGTACTAATTATCAGTAACTATTTATCAACACGTGTACTGTAATGAGCATGAGTTATTAAATAGCTAGGTTAGGTTAGGTTAGGTTAGGTTAGGTTAGGTTAGGTTAGGTTAGGTTAGGTTAGGTTAGGTTAGGTTAGGTTAGGTTAGGTCAGGTTGGGTGAAACGCTAGATATTATTTTTTATATAGATTATACTTATATAAAATGGTGTATTGATTGAGTGACTTCATTATACGTATATACACACAACACACAACACTATATAACCCTTCCTCTCAGGTGAAGACAAGGTGAGCAATTAGCAACCTGTACTATTAACCAATTTCACCTTCCCCCACCATTTCACACCTGGGTCGACTGAGAGTGCCTCAAGCGAAAACTACAGTCTCTTCCCCTCCTCAAACTCACACATGATAAAGGAGACATTTCAAAATAGCTGTACCAAATGATACATATTCTGCCTTAATTCATTCATCATTTCTTCACCTTTGTCTTAATTCATCGTCAATATATTAATAGTATTACTGATCCTCCAAGTTATATAAAACACCCAGACATTATGCTCTGATCATGAAAGCTAACACCTTTATTATTGTAGGTGAATAAAAAATAATAAAATAAAGAAATAAAGTATAACAAAAATCGTCAGAAGTAATGAAAAATAAAGTAAAATCCTTGAAAAATAATTAATTGATCAAGTAGAAATTTCGAAGGTTTATGTCTAATATATTTAAGAAATATACGCGACTAATGGGTCCTTACTAAGCTCCTATATGAGGCTCCTATATGAGGTTCCTATATGAGGCTCCTACCCGAGACTCCTTTATGAGGCTCCTGCAAAAAGCTCTTCATGAAGCTTCTCGATGAGGCTCCTTCATGAAACTCCTTCATGAGGCTCCTACACAAGGCTCCTTCATAAGACTCCAGCTATTGTTACAACGTGAATACCTGACTTAAAGAGACAGAAATATGACCACTGGTTTGTGTATGAGGACATACTTGGACTGGCATCAGTGGAGCTAGAGGTGGCATCAGTGGAGGTAGTGGTGGCATCAGTGGAGGTAGTGGTGGCATCAGTGGAGGTAGTGGTGGCATCAGTGGATCTAGTGGGGGCATCAGTGGAGGTAGTGGTAGCATCAGTGGATCTAGTGGTGGCATCAGTGGAACTAGTGGTGACATCAGTGGAGCTAGTGGTGGCATTAGTTAAACTAGTGGTGGCATCAGTGGAGCTAGTGATAGCATCAGTGGAGCTAGTGGTGGCATCAGTGGAACTAGTGGTGACATCAGTGGAGCTAGTGGTGGCATCAGTGGAGCTAGTAATTTCATCAGTGGAACTAGTGGTGGCATCAATGGAGCTAGTGGTGGCATCAGTGGAACTAGGGATAGCAACAGTGGAACTAGTGATGGCATTAGTGAAACTAGTGGCGACATCATTGGAACTAGTGGTGGCATCAGTGGAGCTAGTGATGGCATCAGTGGAGCTAATGATGGCATCAGTGGAGCTAGTGATGGCATCAGTGGAGCTAGTGATGGCATCAGTTGAACTAGTGATGGCATCAGTGGAACTAGTGGTGGCATCAGTGGAACTAGTGATGACATCAGTGGAGCTAGTGATGGTATCAGTGGAGCTAGTGGTGGCATTAGTTAAACTAGTGATGGCATCAGTTGAACTAGTGGTGGCATCAGTGGAGCTAGTGATGGCATCAGTTGAACTAGTGATGGCATCAGTGGAGCTAATGATGGCATCAGTGGAGCTAGTGATGGCATCAGTTGAACTAGTGATGGCATTAGTGGAACTATTGGTGGCATCAGTGGAACTAGTGATGACATCAGTGGAGCTAGTGATGGTATCAGTGGAGCTAGTGGTGGCATTAGTTGAACTAGTGATAGCATCAGTTGAACTAGTGGTGGCATCAGTGGAGCTAGTGATGGCATCAGTTGAACCAGTGATGGCAACAGTTGAACTAGTGGTGGCATCAGTTGAACTAGTGATGGCATCAGTGGAGCTAGTGGTGGCATCAGTGGAGCTAGTGATGGCATCAGTGGAGCTAGTGATGGTATCAGTTGAACTAGTGATGGCATCACTGGAGCTAGTGATGGCATCAGTTGAAGTTGTGGTGGCATCAGTTGAACTAATGATGGCATCAGTGGAGCTAGAGATGGCATCAGTGGAACTAGTGATGGTATCAGTTGAACTAGTGATGGCATCAGTGGAACTAGTGATGGCATCAGTGGAGCTAGTGATGGCATCAGTTGAAGTTGTGATGGCATCAGTTGAACTAATGATGGCATAAGTGGAGCTAGTGATGGCATCAGTGGAACTAGTGATGGTATCAGTTGAACTAGTGATGGCATCAGTGGAACTATTGATGGCATCAGTGGAACGAGTGATGGTATCAGTGGAGCTAGTGATGGCATCAGTTGAACTAGTGATAGCATTAGTTGAACTAGTGGCGAAATCATTGGAACTAGTGGTGGCATCAGTGGAGCTAGTGATGGCATCAGTGGAGCTAGTGATGGCATCAGTGGAGCTAATGATGGCATCAGTGGAGCTAGTGATGGCTTCAGTTGAAATGATGGCATCAGTGGAACTAGTGGTGGCATCAGTGGAACTAGTGATGACATGAGTGGAGCTAGTGATGGCATCAGTTGAAGTTGTGGTGGCATCAGTTGAACTAATGATGGCATCAGTGGAGCTAGAGATGGCATCAGTGGAACTAGTGATGGCATCAGTTGAACTAGTGATGGCATCAGTGGAACTAGTGATGGTATCAGTGGAGCTAGTGGTGTCATCAGTGGAGCTAGTGGTGGCATCAGTGGAACTAGTGATGGCAATAGTTGAACTAGTGATGGCATCAGTTGAACTAGTGGTGGCATCAGTTGAACTAGTGATGGCATCAGGGGAGCTAGTGATGGCATCAGTGGAGCTAGTGATAGTATCAGTGGAGCTAATGATGACATCAGTGGAGCTAGTGATGGCATCAGTGGAGCTAGTGATGGAATCAGTGGAGTTAGTGATGGCATCAGTGGAGCTAATGATGGCATCAGTGGAGCAAATGATGGCATCAGTGGAGCTAGTAATGCATCAGTGGAGCTAGTGATGGCATCAGTGGGCTGATGGTGGCATCAGTGGGTAGTGATGGCATCGGATTGGAGCTAGTGATGGCATTAGTGGAACTAGGGATGTCATCAGTGGAGCTAGTGATGGCATCAATTAGATTATGGTGGCATCAGTGGAGCTAGTGATGGCATCAGTGGAACTAGTGATGGAATCATTGGAGCTGGTGATGGCATCAGTGGAACTAATGATGGCATAAAGTGGAACTAGTCAGTGGTATCAGTGGAGCTAGTGATGGCATCAGTGGGTTAGTGATGGCATCAGTAGAGCTAATGATGGCATCCAGTGGAGCTAGTGATAGCATCAGTGGGCTAGTGATGGCATTAGTTGAACTATTGATGGCATCAGTGAACGAGTGATGGTATCAGTGGAGCTAGTGATGGCATCAGTTGAACTAGTGATAGCATTAGTTGAACTAGTGGCGAAATCATTGGAACCAGTGGTGGCATCAGTGGAGCTAGTGATGGCATCAGTGGAGCTAGTGATGGCATCAGTGGAGCTAATGATGGCATCAGTGGAGCTAGTGATGGCTTCAGCTGAAATGATGGCATCAGTGGAACTAGTGGTGGCATCAGTGAACTAGTGATGACATGAGGAGCTAGTGATGGCATCAGTTGAAGTTGTGGTGGCATCAGTTGAACTAATGATGGCATCAGTGGAGCTAGATGGCATCAGTGGAACTAGTGATGGCATCAGTTGAACTAGTGATGGCATCAGTGGAACTAGTGATGGTATCAGTGGAGCTAGTGGTGTCATCAGTGGAGCTAGTGGTGGCATCAGTGGAACTAGTGATGGCAATATTGAACTAGTGATGGCACAGTTGAACTAGTGGTGGCATCAGTTGAACTAGTGATGGCATCAGGAGCTAGTGATGGCATCAGGTGAGCTAGTGATAGTATCAGTGGAGCTAATGATGGCATCAGTGGAGCTAGAGATGGCATCATGGAGCTAGTGATGGAATCAGTGGAGCTAGTGATGGCATCAGTGGAGCTAATGATGGCATCAGTGGAGCTAGTGATGGCATCAGTGGAGCTAGTGATGGCATCAGTGGAGCCATGATGGCATCAGGAGCTAGTGATGGCATCAGTGGAGCTAGTGATGGCATCAGTGGAGCTAGTGATGGCATCAGTGGAGCTATGATGGCATCAGTGGAGCTAGTGATGGCATCAGTGGAGCTAGTGATGGCATCAGTGGAGCTAATGATGGCATCAGTGGAGCCAGAGATGGCATCAATGGAGCTAGTGATGGAATCAGTGGAGCTAGTGATGGCATCAGTGGAGCTAATGATGGCATCAGTGGAGCTAGTGATGGCATCAGTGGAGCTAGTGATGGCATCAGTGAGCTAGTGATGGCATCGTGGAGCTAATGATGGCATCAGTGGAGCTAGTGATGGCATCAGTGGAACTAGTGATGGCATCAGTTGAACTAGTGATGGCATCAGTGGAGCTAATGATGGCATCAGTGGAGCTAGTGATGGCATCAGTGGAGCTAGTGATGGCATCAGTGGAGCTAGTGATGGCATCAGTGGAGCTAGTGATGGCATCAGTGGAGCTAGTGATAGTATCAGTGGAGCTAATGATGACATCAGTGGAGCTAGTGATGGCATCAGTGGAGCTAGTGATGGAATCAGTGGAGCTAGTGATGGCATCAGTGAGCTATGATGGCATCAGTGGAGCTAGTGATGGCATCAGTGGAGCTAGTGATGGCATCAGTGGAGCTAGTGGTGGCATCAGTGGAGCTAGTGGTGGCATCAGTGGAACTTGTGATGGATAAAGTTGAACTAGTGATGGCATCAGTTGAACTAGTGGTGGCATCAGTTGAACTAGTGATGGCATCAGTGGAGCTAGTGGTGGCATCAGTGGAGGTAGTGATGGCATCAGTTGGGCTAGTGATGGCATCAGTGGAACTAGGGATATCATCAGTGGAGCTAGTGATGGCATCAGTGGAGCTAGTGATGGCATCAGTGGAGCTAGTGATGGCATCAGTTGAAATGATGGCAACAGTGGAACTAGTTGTGGCATCAGTCGAACTGGTGATGGCATCCAGTGGAATAGTGGTGGCATCAGTGGAGGTAGTGATGGCATCAGTTGGAGAAACAGTGATGGCATCAGTGGAACTGAGGGATATCATCAGTGGAGCTAGTGATGGCATCGAGCCTGGAGCTAGTAGTATGGCATCAGTGGAGCCTAGTGATGGCATCAGTTGAGAGAATGATGGCAGCAGTGGAACTAGTTGTGGCATCGAAATTGGAACTAGTGATGACCAGGTGGAGCTAGTGATTCCATCAGTTGAGATTGTGGTGGCATCAGTTGAACTATTGATGGCATCAATTGAATAGAAGATGGCATCAGTGGAACTAGTGATGGCATCAGTTGAACAATGATGGCATCAGTGGAGACTAGTGATGGCATCGAGTGGGAGCTAGTGATGGTATCGAGGTGGAACTAGTGTTGTCATCAGTGGAGCTAGTGGTGGCATCAGTGGAACTAGTGATGGCAATAGTTGAACTAGTGATGGCATCAGTTGAACTAGTGGTGGCATCAGTTGAACTAGTGATGGCATCAGGGGAGCTAGTGATGGCATCAGTGGAGCTAGTGATAGTATCAGTGGAGCTAATGATGACATCAGTGGAGCTAGTGATGGCATCAGTGGAGCTAGTGATGGAATCAGTGGAGTTAGTGATGGCATCAGTGGAGCTAATGATGGCATCAGTGGAATAATGATGGCATCAGTGGAGCTAGTGAAATGTCATCAGTGATGGAACTAGTGATGGCATCAGTGGAGCTAGTGAGTGGCATCAGTGGAGTAGTGATGGCATCAGTTGGGCTGAAATGATGATGGCATTGGTGGGTTAGGATGTGTCAGTGGAGCTAGTGATGGCATCAGTGGAACTAATGGTGGCATCAGTGGGCTAGTGATGGCATCAGTGAAACTAGTGATGGAATCATTGGGCTAGTGATGGCATCAGTGCAAGAATAATGATGGCATAAAGTGGGCTAGTGATGGTATCAGTGGAGCTAGTGATGGCATCAGTGGAGTTAAGTGATGGCATCAGTAGAATAATGATGGCATCAGTGGAGTACAAATGATGGCATCAGTGGAGCTAGTGATGGCATTAGTTGAACTAGTGGTGGCATCAGTTGAGAAGTAGTGATGGCATCAGTGGAGCTAGTGGTGGCATCAGTGGTGGTAGTGATGGCATCAGTTGGGCTGAATGATGGCATCAGTGGAACTAGGGATGTCATCAGTGGAGCTGGTAGTGGCATCAGTGGAATGAAATGATGGCATCAGTGGAGCTAATGATGAAATCAGTGGAATGATGGCATCAGTGGAGCTAGTGATGGCATCCAGATGAACTAGTGGTGGCATCAGTTGAGATTTAGTTATGGCATCCAGTGGAGCTAGTGGTGGCATTGAGTGGAGGTAGTGATGGCATCAGTTGGGCTAGTGATGGCATCAGTGGAACTAGGGATGTCATCAGTGGAGCTAGTGATGGCATCAGTGGAGCTAATGATGGTTTTCATTTGGAGCTAGTGACAACATCAATGGAACTAGTGGTGGCATCAGTGGAACTAGTGGTGGCATCAGTGGAGCTAGTGATGGCATCAGAGGAGCTAGTGATAGCATCAGTGGAGCTAGTGATGGCAACACTGGAGCTAGTGATGGCATCAGTGGAACTAGTGGTGGCATCAGTTGAACTAGTGATGGCATCAGTGGAACTAGTGGTGGCATCAGTGGAGCTAGTGATGGCATCAGATGAACTAGTGGTGGCATCAGTTGAACTAGTGATGGCATCAGTGGAACTAGTGGTGGCATCAGTGGAGCTAGTGATGGCATCAGAGGAGCTAGTGATCACATCAGTGGAGCTAGTGATGGCATTAGTGGAACTAGTGGTGGCTTCAGTGGGACTAGTGATGGCGTCAGTGGAGCTAGTGACAACATCACTGGAAATAGTGGTGGTATCAGTGGAGCTAGTGATCACATCAGTGGAACTAGTGATGGCATCAGTGGAACTAGTGATGACATCAGTGGAACTAGTGATGGCATCAGTGGAACTAGTGAAGTCATTAGTGGAGCTAGTCGTGGCATCAGTGGAGCTAGTGGTGGCTTCAGTGGAGCTAATGACAACATCAATGGAACTAGTGGTGGCATCAGTGGAACTAGTGGTGGCATCAGTGGAGCTAGTGGTGGCATCAGTGGAGCTAGTGATGGCATCAGTGGAACTAGTCGTGGCATCTGTGGAACTAGTGATGACAACAGTGGAACTAGTGATGGCATCAGTGGAACTAGTTTTGGCATCAATGGAACTAGTGATGACAACAGTGGAACTAGTGATGGCATCAGTGGAACTAGTGAAGTCATTAGTGGAACTAGTCGTGGCATCAGTGGAGCTAGTGGTGGCATCAGTGGAGCTAGTGACAACATCAATGGAACTAGTGGTGGCATCAGTAGAACTAGTGGTGGCATCAGTGGAGCTAGTGATGGCAACAGAGGAGCTAGTGATGGCATTAGTGGAGCTTGTCATGGTATCAGTGGGAGCTAGTGGTGGGCATCAGTGAGCTAGTGATGGCATCAGTGAACTAGTCGTGGCATCTGTGGAACTAGTGGTGGCATTAGTGGAGCTAGTGATCGCACTGTATAGCTAGTGATGCAGCATCAGTGAGCCAGTGATGGCATCAGTGAGCTAGTAGGTACTGCTGAACTAGTGATGGCATCAGTGTAGCTAGTGAAAACATCACTGGAACTAGTGGTGGCATCAGTGGAGCTAGTGATGACATCACTGGAGCTAGTGATGGCATCAGTGGAACTATTGGTGGCATCAGTGGAGCTAGTGGTGGCATCAGTGGAGCTAGTGGTGGCATAAGTGGAGCTAGTAATTTCATCAGTGGAGCTAGTGATGGCACCAGTAGAACTAGTTTTGGCATCAGTGGAACTAGTGGTAGCATCAGTGGAACTAGTGATGGCATTAGTGGAACTAGTGGTGGCATCAGTAGAACTAGTGGTGGCATTAGTGGAACTAGTGATGGCATTAGTGGAACTAGTGGTGGCATCAGTGAACTAGTGATGCGCTTAGTGGAACTAGTGGTACATCAGCAGAACTAGTGGTGGGCATCAGCAGAACTAGTGGTAAGTATCAGTGTGGAACTAGTGATGGCATTAGTGAATTAGGCAGGCACTGTAGAAATCTGGGGTGGTGGCATTGGGGTGAACTAGTGATGCATTAGTGGAACTAGTGGTGGCATCAGCAGAACTAGTGGTGGCATCAGTGGAACTAGTGATGGCATTAGTGGAACTAGTGGTGGCGTCAGTAGAACTAGTGGTGGCATCAGTGAAGCTAGTGGTGGCATCAGTGGAGCTAGTGGTGGCATTAGTGAAGCTAGTAATTTCATCAGTGGGACTATTGTTGGCATCAGTGGAGCTAGTAATTTCATCAGTGGAGCTAGTGGTGGCATCAGTGGAACTAGTGGTGGCATCAGTGGAGCTAGTGGTGGCGTCTGTGGAGCTAGTAATTTCATTAGTGGGACTAGTGGTGGCATCAGTGGAGCTAGTGGTGGCTTCAATGGAGCTAGTAATTTCATCAGTGGAGCTAGTGATGGCATCAGTGGAACTAGTGGTGGCATCAGTGGAACTGGTGATGGCATTAGTGGAACTAGCGGTGACATCAGTGGAACTAGTGGTGGCATCAGTGGAGCTAGTGGTGGCTTTAGTGGAACTTGAAATTTCATCAGTGGAACTCGTGGTGGCATCAGTGGAACTAGTGGTGGTATCAGTGGAGCTAGTGATGACATCAGTGGAGCTAGTGGTGGCATCAGTGGAGCTAGTGGTGGCATCAGTGGAGCTAGTGGTGGCATCAGTGGAGCTAGTGGTGGCATCAGTGGAGCTAGTGGTGGCATCAGTGGAACTAGTGGTGGCATCAGTGGAACTAGTGGTGGCATCAGTGTAGCTAGTGATGGCATCAGTGGAGCTAGTGGTGGCATCAGTGGAGCTAGTGATGGCATCAGTGGAACTAGTGGTGGCATCAGTGGAGCTAGTGACAACATCAATGGAACTAGTGGTGACATGAGTGGAACTAGTGGTGCCATCAGTGGAGCTAGTGATGACATCACTGGAGCTAGTGATGGCATCAGTGGAACTAGTGGTGACATCATTGGAACTAGTGGAGATATAAGTGGTGCTATTGGTGACATCCGTGGAGCTAGTGTCGGCATCACTGGTGCTAGTAGTGACATCACTGATGGTAGTGGTGATTCCTGTCACACCTCTGGCTTTTAACATCAACATTATGACAGATCCTAGAAGGACGCGGTAGGATCTCCTCGTCTGTCTGTAGGAGCCGCAGTGAGGTGGCTGGCGTCCATCTCTGGTGTCTGCTGCTCGGCGTCCACCTCTGATGTCTGCTCCTCCACCGACAGTGTGAGATGACTGTTGATGCATTTCTGCTGATGATTTTTGACTGTATGCCGAAGCCAGTTTCTTCCTTCCCGATTACTTCGTCGTTCACCAAGACGCCACGGACAATAATTAATTATCCGTGTAATCAGTTTTTAATTATTTGCTTTAATTAACCAACTAACGCAAACTTACCACTGTCGTTAATGGCGTTATGTTGATGATCTCACTGTTACCTCAAATGACTGGGTCGGGGGAGAGCTTAACGCTGCCAACCACTAAGTGCATTGGCGACCAACACTGAAGCGTTCCTAGACTGTACTGGTGCGGTCCAAGCACAGAAACATCGAGTATTACCGCTAATCTCTCAGGAAGCGATAACAATTTTCGTTTTTTTCTGTTAGAGCTCTCTCTCTCTCTCTCTCTCTCTCTCTCTCTCTCTCTCTCTCTCTCTCTCTCTCTCAGCCGTTCATCATCCTGAACATTGAAATACAGAGACGCTTTCACACACACACACACACACACTCTAAAGCCTCTTTCATACGAGTGAACAGACGCAGCTAAACTGACGCTCGACAGAAGAAAGGTCAGTGTGAAGGTTAGGTTAGGTTAGGTTAGGTTAGGTTAAGTTAGGTTAGGTTAGTGTCTTAATATATCAGCTCTTTAAACTCTCTGAGAGCAATGATTTAAAACAACAGAACTCAAAGGGTTAATCCGGTCCCACGTCCTGACCTGTTATAATATTAAAATAAAAATAAAACCAAGTTAGACAGACAGATAGATGGATAGATAGATAGATAAATAGATAGATAGATAGATAGATTTAATTATCAATATGAACACCACTATGTCGGAACATTCTCTAGGTTCATGGCAAACTTGATGAGGTGGTTTTATTGTTATCACAGGGAGGAGATAGTCACCCAAAACTAAAGCAAGCTCAGGTGTTGATAAATTCATGAATTACACACACAATTTAACAGTAATTATCACACAGGCTGCAACGTAGCTTCTGGGCTGCTGTTTCCGTTCAGATAACACCTCAACTACTACTACTACTACTACTACTACTACTACAGCCTCCCCCAATAGCCACACCTTCGCCACCATTTATTTACCTTAATATTAAATATCCTAATACATAAGCAACTATCCTATCTGTGTTAAATTAGTTGAGCCGCAGATCGATGCGGCATTCGGTGACTGTAGCCTCATAGTCGATATCTGCAGCAGTTGACGGAGTAGGGGCAGAAGCTCTCGTTCCCCTGAGGCAGAGCAAAGCCGACCGAAGGAGAGAGAAGGACAGTCGACATCTCATCCAGGCTGTGACATAACTTCTGGGCTGCTGCTTCTGTTCGGAGATCAGCTCCGCGAGTCTGGCGTAGAAACATCTTGCGCTTGGGCTCATCCCACCAGAGGTTGTGAACACTAGCGGAGTGAAGCTGCCTTGATCGACACTTTGAATTCTCTCCCCATATGCCCTTCTCTTGTCGTTCTCGTTCCTCCTATGTGCAGCATCGAGAGCTAGGTTACGGTGACAAATGGCCATGGGATCAAAAATCCTGATGTCGAAGAAGGCTCGCTGTCCCCGCGTCCAGAATCCTCGAGCACTGACGTCCACACGGGCTTCGTTAGATGTGTTTGAAGTCCTGTGTTGGAGGATCTCGCCATCCAGTGGAAGGAGGGTCGGTTCTACCATGACGTCCCGGCAGGTTTCCTTCAACATATTTGCTGTGAGATCCCTTACCTCGTCATGCCTCATGCATATGAAGCCCCCCTTCTTGCAAACCATGGCGTGATCGCCATCATAGGAATAGCCACACACGCATTGGGAGGGCAAACCATCTACTTGCCAACCGTACCTTAGAGCAATGGCATCTGTAAATTCTTGTTTGTTAAGGCTGAAACCATTTGCCCTTATCGGTAACGTAGTTAACCAGTTCGAGGCGCCCACCTCCTGCGCTATAGCTACTTTTTTTGTCAAATTTTCTGGAACCTGCAGCAATAGTTGCTGCAACATGTCATTTTGGCAGTGCTGCCGATCTGTTGTAATGGATCTACGGATCTTATTACTTCGCTGGTGTCCACTTCCCCTGTTGCATTCTGGGCTATTATGTGGTCAGTGAGGGCTGCCGTGAGCTTAAGTGAATTTTGATGTTCAGAGTCAGCAATCTCCTCTGGATTAGTTAGTCCCATCCCTCCCAGTCTTGGTGGAAGTGCAAGAAGTGTTCTTTCTACTGGGGTTAAGTCGTGGTGTTTCACTAGTTTGGGAATGAACTTGACACTGATTGCTTCTTCCAAAGGGTGGAGGAGGGGTCGGATCTCAGGGATGGTACGCATCAGGTAGTTCCAACGATGCTTGACTCCATGTGTGAATGCTGCAAAGGCCGCATGTGGCTCTGTGTTAGCAATCTCCGATAGAGCATGGATTTCGCTAACCCACTCGTTCACCTTTCCCCTACGTACTGGGTACTACTACTACTACTACTACTACTACTACTACTACTACTACTACTACTACTACTATTAAAAGAGTCGATCCATAGCAGTACGAATAAAAGAACAGTATCAATATCTCTATCTCTCTATTATCTCTATCTCTCTCTAGCTATCTTGAACATCTCGACCCCTAAGTTTCTCAGGTGGTTAATAGGAGTCGAGTTAAGGTGTTCGATGCTGATCCCTATTGTGGAGTCGTCGATATAATGTAGGGAGTCGAGATAGAGCAGTTCCCATCTTGGTGCCTTGGGGAACGCCGGGGCTGAGTGACGGAAAGGTGGAGAAGATAGAGACACGAGAATAAAGTAGAGAGAGAGAGAGAGAGAGAGAGAGAGAGAGAGAGAGAGAGATAATAGAAAAAAAGGAAGAGAGAAAATTGAAATAAAATATAGAGGAAGAGAGATAATGATAACGAGAGGGATATATTCAGGAACAGGTGTACAGGTATAATGAAGGAGAGGATTAATTAACACAGACGAACACCTGGCCAAGAAATAAATCACATCTATGATTAAATATTTGACTTCCGGTGATAATTGAATGACGTCATCACCCCAAATTGTATCATTCTTTCACGTGTGTCACCTTGCGCAACGCCCCCCCCCCTCCCCCTTGCTCACCTCCTTCCCCTCCCTCTTGCTTTCTTTCCTCCCCCTACTCCCCTGCTCACTCTCCTCCCCCTCCTCTCTGCTCTCTTTCCTCCCTTACTCCCTGCTCACTCCTCCTCCCCTCCCCTTCTCTCTGCTCTCTTTCCTCCCCTACTCCCCTGCTCCTCCTCTCCCTCTCCCCCTCCCCTCTCTGCTCCTCTTTCCCTCCCCCCTACTCCCTGCTCACTCTCCTCCCCTCCCCTCCTCTCTGCTCTCTTTCCTCCCCCTACTCCCCTGCTCCTCCTCCTCCCCTCCCCCCTTCTCTCCTGCTCTCTTTCCTCCCTACTCCCCTCTCCTCTCTCCTTCCCCTCCCTCTTGCTTTCTTTCCTCCCCCTACTCCCCTGCTCACTCTCCTCCCCCTCCTTTTTTATTAGTTTTATAACAATCAGAACTAAATTTTAGCTCTTAGTCCATTATTCAATATTTAACTAACTACCTAAATAATTTAACACTGAGAAACATGACAAATTAATAGAATCATAATAATATAACTGATTTACTATGTTCAGTTAACTTATGTAAATTAGAACAAACATGTGAAAGAAAGGTTAAAGTTATGAAAATATTTATTATAAGTGATTCGTCCTCGTAAGTTTCATCATTGATATTAATAAAATAGATATTTATTATTTTTGGGTAAATTCTAAAGAGTGACGTCTGGGGTAATAATCCACCTCTTCCGCCATTGGACGACAATAAATATTTTCACACCTACGTCATATGTTATCAGTAGTCGAATAACACCCCATAAAAGGCTTTCCATAACACTGATAATAACACTTACGAAAAATTGACTAATACCTTTATTATGTTTGTTCTGGAACACTGAGAGATAAGGAGATAACGCGTCGCCTAGGGGTAAATATATTGCTGTTGCTTCATGAATGTTGCATTATTGATCACATTAAATACTTTTATAACTCTATCTATCTATCTATCAATTTTTTTTAGTAATTTAACTTTTACTTAGGTAAGGTTTTATAATACTTTTACTCCAATACAATTAAAGAAGTAAAAATCGTTACTCGTTACGTGTCCCAAACAAACAGTTTTAATGTCTGTGGCAAACTAGGAATTTTTTTTAATAAATAAATAAATTAATTTTTAACCATAGTAAAAGAGTTCTGTGGGTGGAGGGTATGGTATGGGCGGAACCGTGAAGGGTACTGTGTGGGTATGGAGAAACACCACGCAGTCACATAAGAACATAAGAATGGAGGAAACTGCAGCTGGCCTATTGGCCCATACTGGGCAGACCCATTTACACCCAACCCCTATTGCTCATATATCCATCTAACCTATGTTTGAAGCTATCCAGCGTATTCGAGTTAATGATGTTGTTTGGTAACTTGTTCCATTTATCCACTAAGCTATTTCCGAACCAGTGTTTACCTATCTCGCGCCTAAATCTAAATTTGATTAATTTAAAACCATTGTTACGAGTTCGCTCCTGGATGGATAGTTTGAGTACCTTTGTAATGTTCCCTTTGTTTAGCCCTGACTTCCATTTATATACCTCTATCATATCGCCCCTCACTCTACGTCTCTCGAGGGAGTGCACATTAAGATGCTTTAAAACTACCTAGACCTTGCTTCAACCTGTGTCTGTACTCAAGGTTCCTAATGCCCGGGATTAGTCTTGTCATTCTCCTCTGAATTCTTTCAAAGGAATCTATATCCATTCTATAGGCTAAGTTAGGCTGGGTTAATAGACTCTACAGTGTAAATATTCCGGTA